TCTTGGATGTTGCCGCTGTTGAGTCGGACCTGCCTGTCTGGGTCTGGTTTGATCCGATCACTGGTGAGGATAGTTTTGATGAAGTTGAAGGCCCCACGGAGGCCGCATGCCCATGTGTCTCTCAGAATGAGAGCCAGGAGACGGTCAGGATGTGAAAGAGCATACCGCAAGGCCACAAAGCCTCCGTAGGAACCTCCAGCTAGAACAAATTTGTCTGCACCCGCCCAGGATCTGAACCAACATGTTATTCGGGTTGCCATCAACGAAATGAAAAGCAGTTCGGTCAAACCTTACCTCAACTCGTCTACGTCAGCCACCCAACGTTCGTCAGTGTATGGTGGCCTCAAGTCGCTTTCGCCGCTGCCTCTCGCATCATAGACCAGAACTCGAAAATCAGAGGCCAGAAAGCCGAACGAGGAAACCGGTTCTCTATGATCTGATAAGCCAGGCGCGCCATGTAAGACTATTATGAGAGGTTTGGTTCCATCGCTGTCGCCGAGGAGTCTGACCTGGACTTTAGCCCCGTCACTAAGCTCGACGGTGGACGGGCTCGCCATGTCGATAAAGATGGAATTTCGTTGAGTGCCGAAAACGGTCTCGATCGAAGTATATGAGAGCCTGGGGTTCTACTTGGTCTTTTGTACGCTGCGAGGGGATCTTTCCGCTTACAAATCAGGTCTGGATTATACATGTACGCACTGAAAAGTATCGACTCACATCGCGTCATCTAATAAAAATATGAGACAGGAGTGAATTACCATGCTTTTGACAGCCGAAGGATCGAGACTTGAACGGAAGAGGCAAGCTGTCAGATTCTTGTCCCAAGAACGGATCAAAATTTGGGACTTTTGTTGCGATCCATGGCTACCACACCGGATTGGAAGGAATAGAGGTCATCACATTGCCGGATGCTGCTCCAAACCAGCAGATTTCTTATTGGTCACCTTACTCATCGTGTTAAGAGTCTAGAAAATTGATAATCACCGGGGCAAATTGATTTTCGTCTTGATCCAGATCAATAACTCGGCATATTGATTAAAGTAGTCGAACCCTAACTATATTGGATGGACTGAGGCTCAACAAAGACGATGAGACTGCCGAAAGGATAAAGGACGGCATCTTTGTTACAGAAGCCGGTCTGAAGGGCTGTTCTTGAAGACGGTGAACCTAAAGTCCGAATGACCTGACGGAATATTTACTCTTCGTCAGGCAACCCGCATCTTAAGTAGCAGCTGCATTTCATCCAACATCACGTTCTCTCGGCTCAAATGGGGGTAATGCATCCCATCACTCCTAACTCAAATCTTGCTCTTTCTAGGGGTTGAACGACTGGGACCTGACTGACCCCTCGGAGCCCGCGCGAAGCTTTGCTTCAGGCATTACTTAATAATTTCGAATGGCTATATCAAAACAATGTGACCCAAGCCAGGCTTAGGGCTGTTTGATAGCAAGTAACACGGATCACTCTCTGAACATCCATTGAAATAGGCTCAGCCCTTCGGTTCTCCATGAGCTAAAACAAGGGAAGACTGTCGCTGGAAGCAGAAATTCTGGCTGAGTGTGGGGTGAGAAAGAAAGGGGCGAGTCAGATTGGGACATCAACCTAGGAGCGAAAGTAGAACCCTTGTCGCCGAGTCTCGGTCAGACCGACAACAGGCCATTAAACACCAATTTTGGGCAAAAGATTAACAATGCTCATGCTTGCGGGAAGAGCCTCGCAAAGGTTCGAAGGGCTACTGCAGTCAAGGGAGTATCTTGCAGCAGAGATGAAACTTTACTGCTTGAGCAGGAAGCGCGCGTAGCCATGAGGAAACAATTCCCAGTGAAACACTGGCTTTGGGATGAACTGTGCTAGGAACTTGGCTTTGCGACCTGACTCGCGATAGATCGGATGTAACCGAATTGGGGGCCTTCTCCGCGACATCCCCAGCTTAAGGACTACATGGGGTCGAAAACCGACAGCGAGCTTCGAGGTTCATCCACTTTTTTGAGTATTAAGCACTTTGGAACCTCGACCAACTGAATCGCGAACAAAAGCCTCGTCAACCAATCTCTTTGTTTATCAATGAGTAATATTTTGGGTAGGGAGCGACTGAGGATATGGTGGTCCCGTAATCCAAGCGCTGGGGAATTGCAACGGTGAGATCTCGGAGGCTTTGTAACCAAAACTTCCATAATTCCACAGCGTTTTGTGAACATTGACTCCTTTCACTTGCCTACGGCATTGTCAACATTTGACATTGATAAGTCAACAAGGCGTACCCTGGCCAACAATTAACATCTCCGGGCGAAGGCAGTGCGTTCGATGGCTCGCTCACGCTCATCAACACATATGTTCAATATCGACGTCCCACAAGAGGCGGATGAGCTCAGCTGTCACTCTGCGGCGATGTTCCAAGCCCCGGTCCACAATGGTTGAAGTGGACTCTGATCCTTTTTTAGCTCAAGGGTTCTCAGGGGTTCTCAAGAGGTTCTCGAGATGCTCCGTGAAGTACGCTTTGAACAGTCCTCACTAGATCGATCACAGCGTATAAAGTGCATAATGTAACCCGACCAGAAATGTTGTTTCTTCACGAACAACAAAGTCTTCTGTCCTTTAGCAGTTGCGATTACTTCAGACTTCACTCCTTTAAACTGCGTCTCAGTCGTCCACTTTACTAAAATCATGAAGCTCTCGATTTCTACTCTTTTGGCCTTTCAGGCACTTATCGGCTCCAGCATAGCCGCTGCTTTGCTTGAAAAGGCCGTTCTTCGACCAGTCCAGAAGCGACAGGCTTCCATTCCTGCTACAACCCTCGGACCAGCCAAGTTTACACCCAAGACCAACGTCACCTTGCCATATGAAGGACTCAACGCTACTAACGCCCTCGTCCGGGCCATGATGAAGCAACCTGCCGTCTTGTTAGAAAATATCGAGACAATCACCAATGTTGAGTGCTCGGCTACTGGGCTTGTTCTTAAGTTCAGCGCTACCGAAGATTACAACACTTGCTTGGGCGCATGGCCGGCAAAGGACTTCATCATCATCACGAACCACAACGGCTCCTGCGATAGCGAACACGAGCGTGGCGTCTATGTGGTCCAGAATTACACGTTTGACAATGCCACCTTGACTCTTACTGCTCCGTCTACCAAAGCAGAGATCAGCGATCAGATGAATGACGCAGTCATCGACTTCCAACACACCGGCACCGCTACCACCAAGCGCGATCTCTCCGGAACCATCTCCGCAGACCTTTCAGGCTCCACACTCGTTGCGACGGACGCCTTGAATATTGTCGCCAATGAGGCCAAGCTGGAAAGCACAGTCACCCTGGCAGGCCATGTCCACTACAACTTCTGGAAGTTCAAGGTTGACGAGTTCTACATTGATGTTGACTACTCGTCTGCTTTGAACCTCAACATCTCTGCTGCTGTCAACGCCCAGTATTCGACCAACCTGTACAATTATAATCCCCTATCCGTGTCTGTGTCTGCCTTCACTATTCCCGGCATTATCGATGTTGGCCCCGTGGTGAACTTCAGCCTCGGCATCGAATTCGCTGCGTCCGGTGCAGTCAAGGCGTCCGTGGACGTCGTCTCCACTATTGCCAATGCTCAAGTTCACCTTGACTTTTTGGACTCCGCCCAGACCTCTACCACAGGCTGGAAGCCTCAAACCAACGTCACCACGGATATCAACGCTCAAGTAGAGCTTCAGTTGAATCCGTTCGCTGACCTGACCGTTGCGTTGGGTGTTAAGCTCTTTAACGGTCTCCTTGACATGTCTGCTGGAGTCGAGGCGAAGCCCCAGGTCGTCAACGTCTTCGCAGTGGACTTTGACTTCGCCTACACCAGCGCCAGTGGTGTTACCTTTGCAAAGCCTACTGGGAATCAGTGCAAGAATGGTGCTTGGTTTGCTAGCACTTTCTACTTGGGCGTTGATGCATATGTCACTCAGTTCTACACTAAGACCTTGTATGAGGTCGATGTGCCGATTTACCAGTCGCAATGCTGGAACTTCATCAACTAGATACCACTTTAGCTTATTGTTGCAATAACTAAAAGTTTCCTGAACGATTCAGAGACTGTTATTATACTATTGCGTTGCTGCGTCGATACTACATGTAGTTAAGGACAATCGTACCGTTGTAGATGTCACCAGAATGTTTGACCAAGTTACCCACTTTCGATCATCCATGATATTTCTTGGGTCAATGATTCCCTGAGAAGCATGATCATCCAAATCTTACGTCCTGGAACACGTTGTGACTTTTCTTTCCAAGTACGGAGCCTTAGCTAATTTCGGCTCAGCAGGTGTTCAAGGCAACAGATAGTTACGACCAAACTGCTTGTAAATGTCGGCCTACGTACATGCAGGGAAGGCTGAAGCTTCAAGATTCTATCTTTGATTCAGTATGTATCAGAGCTTTGCATTCGTAAATACCGAACCTATTGGCGTTTCGCCCATTGTCATAACTTCACGTAGGGAGCACGGGCTTGAATCTCGGGGTAGACTAAGTGAATTGGGAATCAGAGATCCGAAATCATAGGTTGCTAAAGCACATAATTAGATAACCTGGTGGCGCTATCAAACCCCCTGCGATTTCCCACTCAGAGAGACTCGTTCCCTGTGAACGGCCACTATTAGAGGTTGTAAAGTTACAACCCTTGCTTTCACGGTGCTTGGCGTTCAGGATTGTACCGCAATCACCTTCCCATCGCAGCAATAGTGACCGGCTTGGCCTGGATACGAGATGAGGTGATGATAATAATCCAGCTTTGAATAGAAGGTCGTAGATGTAAAATCAACTCCATACTACTCTTCGTCTAGAATGACACGATAGAACAATTTCTTTGCTAGTGCGCTCACAGACTACAGTCTTCAGAGTCCGATGATCGGCTATTCTAGCAACGTATATAATTCTTACCTGCTTTACTTTACGACAAATACTTACTGGTTTGATCGTCCCAAAAAAAAAAAAAAAATAGATCAACTGAGCCCGTCGCATCACTACATGATGTCGAACGTCAAGCGTATCGCCGCCCTGTTTGGATTCTCATTGGCTGTTTTGGCTAGCCCGCTGATCGCCAAAGGTTCTAGCGATGGCTCCATCGTTCCCGGTAAGTACATCGTTCGCGTTGCTCCAGGAACGTACGACACAGATTTCGAAAGCCACTTGAGCTGGGTCGCCAACGTCCACAAGCGCAGCCTCTCTCGTCGGAGCACTGCTGGAGTTGAGAAGACATTCAGCGTCGGTGGCTTCAAAGCTTACTCCGGCGAGTTCGACGCAGAGACCATTGCGGAGATTGAAAGGAACGGTTATGTAAGTAGGCTTTGCTTTTCAGCAAGCCGATGCTCGAAAACTGATTTTGGGATTGAAGGCCGTCAGCGTCGAGCCAGACCGAGTTGTCGAAGTGACAGCCTTGATCACTCAAGCGGCTGCCCCATGGGGGCTTACGGGCCTATCTTCAACAACTCCTCAAGCAGACGGCAGCAGTTCCAGCCCTTATGTGTACGATAGCACCGCTGGAGAAGGGACATACGCCTACGTCCTTGACTCTGGCGTCACCATTGAGCACGCAGAGTTCGAGGGGCGCGCCATCCGAGGCTACAATGCGTGGGCACCAAATTACCCTTTTGAGGACGAGTTCGGTCATGGCTCCCATGTTGCCGGTATTATTGGCGCAGCTACGTACGGTGTGGCAAAGAAGGCGACCGTTATCGATGTCAAGGTCGTTCGGGGCCTTGTAAGTGCACCGGTTTTGAAGTCCTGGTGATTATATCATTAGCTGACGTTACGATCTGTGATAGGGCTACTCAACCGTTGCTCACGTCTTGGATGGGTACAGCTGGGCTGTCAACAATATCACCAATACCCCCGGACGGGTCTCGAAAGCCGTCATCAACATGAGCCTGGGTACGTTGAACATACGCACACCCGACTCAAAACTGTGCAGCGATGGATTGGCTGACTTTATCGAAGCATTTCCCAAGAGCGACGCGATGAACTCTGCAGTAGATGCCGCTTTCGATCTCGGTGTCACAACCGTGGTCGGTGCCGGGAATGATGGCAAAGACGCTTCGACCAAGTCTCCCGCCTCTGCTCAGAGAGCCATTACGGTTGGCGCGATAGCTTGGAATTGGACTCGTGCCGACTGGAGCAACTTTGGAACTGACGTAAACATCTTCGCGCCGGGTCTCGACATTCCATCGCTTTGGAGGCAGCCTGGGCAGGTGTCGGTGGTCTCTGGAACATCCATGGCCACACCTCATGTCGCCGGACTCGTTGCATATCTCCAGGCACTGCATCCTCTTGAAAATTCGGCAGCCGTTGTTGAGAAGTTGAATGAGCTTGCATTCAAGGGCGTGGTTGGGAATTCGGGAAGTGGGAGCGCGAACGTCCTCGCTCACAGCGGTGTTGTCTCCATCTAAGTTGCATCATAAACGAGGGGCCGAAGGAGATAGAGCTTGATTTAAGAGGGCTTGCATGTAGGCTCATGCCATGATAATGCAGCCAAGCAGCGCTCTCGGAAGGTGTCAACGTGACGATTATCGCAAGCAGCTCAGCACATCCTGCGAGATAGGCGTCGTGGGATTCTTGTCACTTACTTTAGCTATCTCGCGGCTATAGACGCAAGCCCATGCAGAGCCTCGGCATTCCATTTCTAGTTCCAGTGCGTCGGACATGTTGCAGAATCAGGTCGAGAAGAGAAATGTTCGGCGAGAATTGCGGAGTCAAGTTGGATTCCTGCGCGTGCCGTGCATCTTTGCCCGTCTCCTCACCAAACCGCATCCCTCCAGACCCTCTTATTCTCCAAATACGTCATGCAGGAATGAAACTTGGGGTAAGACTGATGGATCAGGGATCCTGTGTGTATTCCTTAAAGACGTCTCAAAGCGGCGGGGGAGCTCTTGTGGACTTAACAGCAGCTTTATCGAATGGTTCATCATCGTGAGATCTCATAGCTTAGGCAAGGGTCACGTTGGGTCCCCTCCTCTCCCCGCACTCTACAAAAGGCAGTAATTCGCCGATGAGAGACTCTTTAGTCTGAACTCTCGGGGGTTCGGAGTTCATCCTCGTGCACCCACTCGGGAGCAAAACACCAACTCCCCCGTCCATCCTCCCATGCATCAACCAGCGTGAACCAGCTCCAAAACATGCCGGACACAACTTGGATCGCGGCGGCATCCCCGCGTCTTGGCGAAAGTTTCCCGCACTACCCCGCAGCGGCGCAGCCCACTATCTCGTTCTAGAAAGATATCCCGCGGCGATGACGGTGCTTGACTGGGAGCCGGTCATCCGGGGCCTATTGAGAGATGGGGAAGATATTCTTGGTGGTTTACTCGGTAGATGGGTTTCGTGAGGGGTTCATGGGATAAATATGTCCGTTGCTGCTCGAAGGCGCCCTTGAATTGCGTAGGTCTATCTCAATCGTCAAAGCTTCACTTTTTACCCAGATAATAATCACCATTATGTCGTCCCCAACAATGAAAGCCGTCAATTACCAGGGCCCTTACAAGGTCAAGGTCTCAGAGGTGTCGTTACCCAAGATTCAGCACCCTGACGATGTCATCGTCAAAGTTACCACTGTGAGATGAACTACCGCCCTGGCCCACACGGCTTTCGTCCGTCATGACTGAAGCTAATCAAGAATACAGGCAGCTATCTGCGGCTCAGACTTGCAGTAAGTTTCCGAACGACGATTCAACGTTGGTGCACAGTCACTTACTATTCGCAGCATGTATGAGGGAAGAACGGCTGCAGAGGCTGGCATCACTTTCGGTTAGTCACTGATTATATGCATATAACGAGATTAGGGCGTTTTCTGATCTGTTGCAGGTCATGAAAACATGGGAATCGTTGAGGAGCTTGGTGCCGGTGTCACTCTTCTCAAAAAGGGAGACCGTGTCGTAATGCCATTCAATGTCGCTGATGGCCGCTGCCACAACTGCGAAGAGGGACGGACAGCCTTCTGCACTGGCGTGAACCCAGGATTCGCCGGCGGTGCTTATGGTATGTCATCGTCTTGTGTAACAAAAGCTCGAATGCAAGCTTACACGTGTTGAAGGATACGTTGCCATGGGCCCCTACCCTGGTGGTCAAGCACAGTACATCAGAGTCCCCTACGCCGATTTCAACGCTCTGAAGCTTCCTGCCGGCAAGGAGTTTGAGGCGGATTTCATTTTGCTTGCAGGTATGGATCTACGAGTACCAAGTCAGATGTCGTCTCCACTGGACTGACCTTGTGCGCTCTCCTAGATATCTTCCCCACTGGCTGGCACGGCATCGAACTCTCCGGCTTCAAGCCCGGTGAGAGCGTTGCTGTTTTCGGTGCTGGTCCTGTCGGACTCATGGCCGCTTACTCGGCAGTCCTTCGCGGCGCCTCAAGAGTGTATGTAGTCGATCGCGTTCCCGAGCGTCTTCAGTCCGCCGAGAAGATTGGATGTACACCAGTGGACTTCACCAAGGGCGATGCCGTCGAGCAAATCAAGAAGCTGAATGGAGGAGAAGTTGACCGCTCAGTCGATGCTGTTGGTTACCAGGCAGTGAGCGCCGGTGGAAACACTGAGCAGCCCAACATTGTGCTGGAGAACATGATCAAGGTCACGCGAGCCTGCGGTGGACTTGGTATTCCAGGACTTTACGTTCCCAGGTAAGATTCTATTCTGACACCTAATTCTCAATTCTGAAGTGCTAACGAAGCGTGTTCAAAGCGACCCCGGCGCGTCAGATGATGCTTCGGCAAAGGGCATGATCAGCTTGAGCTTCGGTAAGCTCTTCGAAAAGGGACTATCCCTAGGAACAGGACAGTGCAACGTCAAGGCCTACAACCGATATCTGCGTGATTTGATCATTGCAGGCAAGGCCAAGCCTAGCTTCGTCGTCTCGCATGAGATCAACATCGATGATGCAGAAATCGCGTACGAGAAGTTTGACAAGAGAATCGACGGTTACACGAAGGTTCTTATTCACCCCAACGGTGGTTTCTAATCTTTGTGAGCGTGTTCGGGGCTTGGGGAGTCGGCGGTTGTTGTCGTGTTAAAAGCGAGAGGACAAGGGGCGTTGATGACGGTGTTGTGAGCGGCTAGGCGGCATAGCGAAGAAGTTTCTTGACTACAAAGAGTGAGGTGATGCTCAACAGCACGCCAAAATATTCAATTCGATTTTTCCTTCCTATTTCCACTTATCTTCAATGCAGTTGTATGTGCTTTTGAATAGGTGAAGTTTCCCACATGCACTCAACAGTCCATGGAATCGAGACATATTGGGGGAAAACTGGCACAGAGCCATGTTGTAACTTGGACGAAGCATAGAGTTAGCTGTTAATCCGGGTCCCATTTGTTGAAGTCTTCCATACTCGCGATTGAATGTGGTAACCTTCAGTTATATCATGATTAAAACTTATGAGACTTGTCGTGCCATTCTGGCCTATTGTGGTAAAATGGTGATGGTGATCTTGGTCCTCGACTTTCCGCCCGGCCCTTTTCCACATCATCCGCATCAGAGACATGCACCTCAATCTCTTGAGTGCACAAGATGCCCATCTCGATCGCGCCAACTTTGGTTTCGTGATATTCCTCCCTTTTGACGATGCTCTCCCTAGACTCTGAGCGTTCAATGGGAATTGTTATGTTGGTGATAGGAGGTCTCGCCGCATGTTTCCGACTCTTGTCTGTACCTGCAGTCTTGATGTATGGCCAGGCGCTATCCTCGCTCGTTCGTGATCTTGATGACGCGTTTCCGCCGTATGATTTGACCATGGTGGTCTTTGCCCTTCTCCAGTACTCCTCCATCAAGCTGTCCAAAACTGGCAGTGAAGCTGTCACAATTCCTAATGACAAGTCCAGGCATGCCCATATCAGGGCTTCTGTGTAGTCCCACGTATAGTCGTTGGTGACCGGGGGGAGAATCTGATGTAGTAAACCACTCAAAACTGCCAAACCACCAATCATCCAGATCGCGAACAGTCGAACCTTCTTTGCCATTCCCATCCGAATCTTCAACAGTATCACAGCAGGCGCGGTCATCAGGATGAGTCCCTGCGCCACATGAAAGCCGGTCAGAATCTTTGACTGGATGTCGATGTCGATACACGAAGGAGCAGACTCTCGTCTACCCCGGATTACCAGGTTCCACTGCGCTGCCGGCGGGCTGCATGCAAAGACGTTGAGAAAGATGGCGAGTAAGATGTATGCGAGAGTCGATCCGACGAAGATGTCGCATGCGATCCGCCACCACCTTGGGAGTCTGTCCGCTAGTCTTCGCATGAATATTGCTATGGAGAGCTTAATCATGCCCACGGCAGCGAAGAACGTTGTGTTGGAAACCATGGCAACCATCACGCCGCTGTTGAATTGTTCGTAACTGACTTCCCAGACGTGGAGGGAAGCCGCACCGATTGCAAGGGAATGAAGTTGCGCAATTGGGTAAACGAGAGCTAGAAGCTATCAGGGGCAGAGTCAGTTCGTGGAGGTATCTTCGATCTATCATCTCTCTGGCACGTACAGCAGCGATGATGATGGTCCAGTCGTCCCAGCCGAACTGGATTACTGAACCTCTTCGCAATCTAAGCCATATTCTTGCAACTGTGGGCGCAACGACAGCTAGGATAACAAAAATGAGGCCTGCCAAAACGCCGGGCAACTTCGTCTCGTGGGGGTCGTCGGGAGGTTGCTTGGCGACGAGGGAATAACCTGTCATCGGGTTGGCAGTCGTCATTCCGGCCATGTGGAAGAGACCCTTGACGATAAAATAATCATTCTGAGTTGCGGGGGGTTGTCCGACGAACGCCGACATCCCCGTCAAGGGGAGGCTGCTCGGGTCATCTGGTATCAAGGAAATATCCATCAGATGCCGCCATTAGTATCGATGAAACTCGGCGCGAATTTTGGATTGAAAGAATCTACAAGAAAAGATCGAGAAACCCTTGGGAAATGGGTCGGGGTCGTCATGATTGATCTACGATCGAGAAAGGCAGCACATGTGCCGCTGACACGCGCTTCTAAAGGTAAAAGCAATGACACGGCCGCATGAGGATTGAGACCCCGAAAGCGCTTCCCTGTCGCCACGGAATTATGAAGAAAGTCATCTCCTGCGCCACACGTAAACGTGGGTGATCGTTCCTTTTGACACATGGTCATAAATGACTGCGTGAGACTCAATGCAGGTGATGGCTAATTTGGCATCTCCTCCGGGTGGAAGTACCTCAGCCGTCTTGGCCAACAGTATTTGAGTTGGCAAAAGCAAGTTGAGATCCACTTGAGGCCCAAAATGGCGAAGACCTTGTGTCAAGGCTCGTTGGGCGAGAAATGGAAGTTTCTTTTATACAAGATCAAAGACATAGTACCCATACTCGATGCAAACTGTCACGAAGTTACTGGATGTTCGGACTACGCCGAAAGTGTGAGAACATAATTGATGATGTTTGTTTGAGTCAAACTCACCATGAACACTAGTGAGCCTCATCTCATTCTAAATCCCCAAGTCCCACAAGGATGCAGGCCATCCCGATCTGGGCTGTGATCCGTGAGCTTCCGCCTGCCCCGTCGCGTTTCCGCTTAAATCCCCACTAACCCTGCAGCATGCATACAATCTCCCTGGCGCTCTGCCCATTCAGGACGCAGGTTGCCGGGATAGAGGTTTGTTGACATCGGACTTTTCACTTGAAACCGGAGAGGATGGGGAAACAGCAATAGCAGTTCAGGGCCGTGGCCAATCTTCAGCACGCGCAGGCATGCTCGAAGAATCTCATGTTCCCGTACGTGGCATATGATCTATCATTGGGCTACATGAGCGCCGAACAGAACAACGACCGACGTGACAGCCCATAATAGGCTCTTGTTTAGCGTACGCTGGGTAGCAGCGGCGGAGCCCGTCGGCGAAGCCGTGGCTGACGCAGTCGCGTAGGTCCCCAAATGAAGTTGACTGGAGATACTCGTAGCCTGTGCTTCGTTGACTGTTGCCCTACAAGGCTCTGCTGTGAAGGTCACATTGGTCGTAATTGCACATGACATCGGGCTTGTGACTGAATCGTCGTATTTCCCATCGTAAAGCCCATGATATGTCGTCAATGACGCGTAGTTGATCATGCCTAAAGCAGTTGGGCATGTCCCGGTGAAGGTTGGCGTCGGGGCTCCCTGCTCAATGGTGAAGTCGAAAGTGCCGTTGCCGATCTTCTCGTTGGCTGAATACTCGACCCAGGAGCTCGAGAGATTACACCAAGGTCCGGTATGAATGGTCCAGGAGAACATGTACTCGCCCACGTCAAGTACATCCGCGTAGCGGGCCTCTACGTGCGGGTTGTTGGGATAGGTTGTGTCGTTCTTCAGGATGGACCCAATGGTGTTGAAAGGTAGTCTTTGTATTTGTTCATGAGGCTTCTTGTAGATGTCCCATGAGAAAACCCAGCCGAAATGGTAGGCGACATTGGGGTTTTGCAGTGAAAGGAGGACCGGGAAGCCGTCGCTTGTTTTGGTGTATTTCCCACCTGCGCGCGGGAACACGAGGTCGAGCTCGATGGCATTGGTCGGTAGCTGGGCCGTTGCTAAGTGCGTTGCAAAGAGAAAGACAATCGTAACCAAGCCGTAAAAGACACCCATAACGCGCCCGAAAGCGCCTCGAAGAGGCGAGTTGAATGAATCTCGGGATGGGCTGACGGATGGTATTGCTCGTGCGTCTCACATCAGAAAAGGAGGAACTTCGTCTGGGAAATTGGACGAATCCTTCCACCCCGTGAGATCTTGGCACCATTAGCGGCTCCGTCTCTCGGCCGAGGATCAGCTCCGGTACGAGGGTATTCACCAACTGCACTAAAATCGATCCACTAGCTATTGGCACTCGATTTGGGCTATCTGTAGAGCAACAGTATCAGTAGATAGCAGCAACTCAAATAACTCTAAACGGCACGAATTACACGTCATGTTCTTTTGGGAGTGGATGGTGCGGAAAGAGAAATAGCGATTTCCGCGACTCCAGTAAGATCTATTCAAATGAAAATGAACTGCCAAGCTGAGTGATAATACTTACAGAACTTCATGTTTGGACAAGAGCGACGATCAAATTAACTCCTGATAAGAACATTAATGTAGGTCAAGTAATACATGAATACTGTATGTGAACTTTTAGAGCCCGAAACACATGTATATTGAAAGTTGCAGAAGATCGTTACTTGTAACTCTCAATGTTCCGCTACTTTGACTTGAGCTTCAAGTGCAATCTTTCATTTTCCTTATTGATCTTGACCTAGTTGTCCAAGCCGAACATTTTTAATTACTCGACTTCAAGACATGTCTTCTTTAGACTCCAGTTACCCGTAAATGTTTCTGTCCCCACGACATAACGAAAACAGCGCGCTCGGCTTACTTTCTCTCCCCCAGTGCCACGATTTCCGCCGCAATTGCTGCTCCAAACGCAGTCGTGCTGCCTGAGCCCTTCATATCTGGTGTCAAAACCGCGGCTTCTGCACGTCCCAGCACATTCTCAATGGCCCTGAGCACCAAGTTTGCAGCATCCGTAAAGCCAAAGTGTTGGAGCAGCATCTGACCAGCCCAGATCATGCCAACAGGATTGGCAACGCTTTTCCCGGCGATGTCGGGTGCGCTGCCATGTACCGGCTCGAACAAGCTAGGAAACTTGCCATCTGGGTTGATGTTTGCTGAAGGAGCAATGGCAATAGTACCTGTGCAAGCAGGTCCCAAATCCGAAAGAATGTCGCCGAACAAATTACTTCCAACGACAACGTCAAAGATGTCTGGGCGTTGTACAAAGTGGGCAGTAAGGATATCGATGTGGTACTTGTCAACCTTGACATCTTCGTAGTTCTTCGCCATCTCTACCACGCGAGAGTCCCAATAAGGCATGGATATGCTGATGCCATTGCTCTTGGTAGCACTTGTGAGACGCTTGCGAGGACGGCTTTGAGCGAGATCGAATGCATAACGAAGAACTCTGTCAACACCAACCCTAGTCATGACGGTTTCTTGGATAACAGTCTCCCGGTCGGTTCCCTCAAACATTTTGCCGCCAATACTGCTGTACTCGCCCTCGGTGTTCTCACGAACAATCCAGAAGTCGATATCGCCTGGCTTCCGATTGGCCAAAGGAGAGGTGACGCCGGGCATCAGACGACAGGGACGCAGGTTGATGTATTGGTCAAACTCGCGGCGGAACTTAAGCAAGCTCCCCCAGAGAGAGACATCGTCGGGAACTTGGTCTGGCATGCCCACAGCGCCGAAGTAGATTGCGTCAAACTTGAGAAGCTTCTCCTTCCAGTCAGAAGGCATCATCTGCCCATGTTTATGGTAGTATGCGCAGCTGGCAAAGTCGAACCATTCAAACTTCAGTGTAAGTCCGAAGATCTTGGCGACGGCTTCGAGACTCTTGACACCCCATGGCATGACCTCGACGCCGATGCCGTCGCCAGGGATGACTGCGATCTTGAGGGATTGAGGAGACATTGTGGCGGTAGGTAATGATCCGACTGATTGAACCGATGTGATGAGACCAAAATGGCCGTGACCTGAACTGTCAACTTATGTAAATAGATTCGTGTAAGACGTTGGACAAGAGTTCAGAGTGTTCCTGAAGTCGGAGAAAGTCGTTTCAACACCGGGGCGAAGACCGGCGATGCTTTCGCTTAAATGATAAGCCGCGGGATTCGGAAGCCGACTCTTTCTTCTACCGGGTCACTTTATCCGTGAGGCTATTGTAGGGATTATCTAGGGCACATCGGTAGATAGTATCGGGGTAATCATTGTTTTAGTTGACGCCGTGTTTCTTGTGTATTGCATGTGTGCTGCTGCATTTAGTTTGGTGATAACTTACTTACTTACTCCGGTTATCTCAAGTCATCTCAATCATCTTCTCAAGAGCCACTGAGACATCTTGCCACTCAAAATCGTGCAATTTCAACGTTTCAAAACGCAGCAACCTCCTTATCTTCCTTCAATATGGTCAAAGTCGCTGTTTTGGGTGCCTCAGGGCAGATTGGACAACCCTTGAGTCTTCTACTCAAATCGGTATAACTCCAAAAGCCTCATTCATGCGGTATCCAGGGCAACTGACATACATCATCATAGTCACTTCTTGTGACAGATCTTAGACTTTCCGATGTTGTTCACGCTGTGGGCGTAGCTACGGACCTTAATCACATTGATACTCCTACAGTCGTTAAGGGTTATCTCCCCGAGAATGATGGTCTTCAAAAGGCTCTTACCGGGGCGGAAGTCGTACTGATCTCTGCTGGCATTGCTCGCAAGCCGGGCATGACTCGTGATGGTCAGGCCTTCAGCTCCAGCGCAACCTGAATCTTGAGCTCACATACTTTCAAACTTGTTCAAGACCAATGTCGGCATCATTGCAGACTTGGCTGCTGGAGTTGCCCAATTCTGCCCCGAGGCATTGGTTGCAATTATCACCAATCCAGTTAACAGCACTGTCCCCATTGCCGCCAAAGTATTGAAAAAGCACGGAGTTTTCGAACCCAAGCGCTTGTTTGGCGTTACGACACTGGATGTTGTGCGCGGATCCAAGTTTGTTGCTGATGTCCTTGGCAATATCAGCCCACAGGATTTCAAGGTACCTGTTGTTGGCGGGCATTCGGGAGCAACAATCTTGCCCTTGATTAGCCGATCCCAGCCCTCAGTACAGCTAAACCAAGAGCAAATTGAGGCTATCACAAACAATAAGTTCAATCGTCGTGAAGATGGCAAATGGCAAGCTAATGTAGCCTTTGCAGGAGTCCAATTCGGCGGGGACGAAATTGTCAAAGCCAAGGCTGGTGCTGGGTCTGCGACAACATCCATGGCGTACGCTGGTTTCCGGTAAGTACTTTGGAGAGATCTATCTGTTTCGTCCATGCACAGTTACTGAACATGATACCCTCTTAGTTTTGCCCAAGCCATTATCAAGGCCTCTCAAGGTCAGAGTGGTATCGTGGAACCTGCCTATGTCTACCTACCTGGGTTGCAAGGAGGTGAGGCCGTTGCCCACGAGCTTGGAGTGAGCTACTTTGCTGTTCCGGTGACCTTCGGGCCAGGCGGCGCCGAGACCGCGCATCCTATTGGATCGTTGTCTGATTATGAAAAGGGTCTTTTGAAGGTTGCCGTTGATGAACTGGAAGGAAACATTAAGAAGGGGGAGGCCTTCATCCAGTCACAGGCGTAAAGGGACCGGCCACTGCGACGGTAGACACTTGACAGTGACATTGGTTCTAATGTGATTCTTGCTGCCTACCTCGCCCGGCTTTCTCTCAGCTAAGATTGAGCGATAACGTGGCCTGACCACGTAGCCTTTTGAACTCCAAAGTATCAGTAAGCCGTCGCGACCTTGCTCAGATCCGAAGTCCAACAGAAAAGTTTCACAGGCGCCAAATGACGAAGCTTTCGCTCTTAGTATGGATATTGTGCTTCTGCGCCTGCATCGTTTACGATGTCCAGCAGTGAACCCCATGTAGCTCCATCGAAAATGTCGAAAAAGTTGTCAGCAGCTCCAAACTGTCCATCCATGCCCTGATTGGATGGGTTTCTGTCGCGATCCGGAAATGTCGTGGGTATGGGAGCAAAATAGGAACCCATAGATGAGTTGTGGTTTTGGATATTAAAGTCAGGCGGCAAGAAAAGCTGGCTGGTATCGGTTTGACGAGCCTGACTCTGGTTCGGCCTAGGGCTGTTTGGGTTGAAGTCGGATGTCTCAAAGTTGAAAAGATTATGTCTTTGGCTTTCATAGACCCTTGAAACGGGATTGCTATCTCTTAGCCGTTGGGCTGGAATCGGGCTTTGAGTGTTATAGGTGGTGTTTGATGTTGGTAGTTGCCGTCGCGGAGACATTATACCAAGATTTATAGGCTGATCTTGTCGCCCAGACGCATTAGCGCCTGCTATCCTTCTTTTGCTTCGCTTGGCACGCTTTTGTGTGGCATCATGACCATCCTCATGATCTGAGCCCTCAATGGTATCTGTTCGGACTCTCTTATGTGTTTCGGGTCCCTGTGCGATACCCCGAAGCAGGACAGATAGCACTTCTCTGCAGTGTCGAGCCATTGCCCATCGTTTTATCGACTTGTTCAACAATTGCAGCGAACATTCGATTCCTCTACTTTCCAATTAGCGAATTGGCAAAACACGCAGTTGGCAACTTTGACGATACGCACGATATAGCTTTCTCAACGTTGCAGACTTTGAGCCGAGCTGCTAGAGCCAACACAAGACCGCTCATCCACACAGCTGACATGTATCCAGGCCAAAATAAAGGACCTCCCATTTCTGAATACTGCTCAATGATGCGGAGTATCGCGTAGGCAGCATTTATGCAAGTCTGCAATGCGTCACGGAACTCTGCACGTCTTGAGTCTAGTGAAAGGGAGGGCCGATGAAGTAGAAGTATGGTGTAATAGTAACTGACGAAGGGAAATACGGTGGGGTCTGGGGTTAGCTGTGGTATGTCTTGTGAGGCTGGAGTGAAGCGGGGCTCTGTGAGGTCGTTGCCATAGGCCGTCACATCCGCCTTCAGGAATAGAATTGTTTGATTGTCCATTTCCCTGGCATGAATGGACTTGTGGAAGACTTCTAGAACTCTTCCCACTAACTGTGAGTGCCGAACATGATGTTCCAGAACAGCTTGTGTTTCTCGACGGTGGCGGAGGATCGCGGCAGCCTTGGGTGATATGCTTGACGCCGGAGAGTCGGTACTGGCTCTCTCATGTCGGCCTGATTCCTTTTCTACCTCGGGCGAGGTCTCCATTCTCTGATCTTGACCTGCTGGAGATGATGCCAACCGTTCGGGGTGGTTTGCGGGGAGGTGTAGGTAGGTGTTCTCGACTTGGCCGTGGAGATCTGACTTTGCAACTGGTTCATGGAGGTCTCGCTGGCCTGGCGGGCATACGTCGATGTCTGAGTCTTGAATGCCATTCGGGTGCCCCAATGACTGGCTGATGAAACGGTCGAGAACGTAAAAGCTCCAGAAAGTGCGCTTACGCATTGAGCGCTCATCCGGAGACAGATGGTCGTACCGTACTGGGCATCTATGCATGCCAGATTGAAAGATCGACTTGGATAACAGGCCACTAACAGAGGATGCATGGCGTAGCGACATGCTGGAAATGAAATAGACTTGAGATGCTAACAATGCTTGGATGGAAATCGTGTCGCAGCGAAGGGCTAATATGCTGAGAGTTGGTAAGAGGTCTGAAGGTGAACGTATGACTGCTGAACCCAGATCGAGCGGCCCATCTGTGTCAAGCTTCGCAACGTTCAAGATGCACTTGAAGATGATAAATTGGCAGAGCGACCTTGAACTGCGCTGGTTGAAGTCGGGTGAATAGAGATTTTCCAAGTCTCCTAGACACTCAGGCCCTTGGAGGAAAGGAACCAAAGGATGCCATATTCGGAAGTATGTGAGAAAGAGGTCCCGAGCAATCTCATAGTCAGGCAATGAACTCATGTCAGTCATGATATCCACGCTTGAAGGGAGCGGTGAGGTCTCGGCATCCGACTCATGGTTCGCTCGACCAGCGCTGCGGCATCCTGGCCTCTCTCCCGAAGACTCATGGTCATTCCGGTCGTTGTCGCCCACGATGCAGTCTTCGGGAGATGGATCATCGTGGGTATCGGCCCCAGCAGCGTGGCGTCCATCGTCTCCCTCGGCGCCTTCGGCTGTTGAGAAGGCCCTTCGAACGGTATTGATGAAGAAGACGCCCGAAGAACTGCCAACAAATTGGCTTTCCCCGTTGGCAAGGGCTCTGAGGCTTCCGATCTCTGGTGCCATATCCAAAGACTTGTAGCTGAGCTGCTGATAAGCCAAGCCACGCCCCGCCGACGCTGTCTGCTCTCATTCGCCCAAGAGTGGCGGATGGGAATAATGTCGTTAAAAACGCGCTGACGCACAGCGCATTCAAGGGTGGGGTGCGGCGGAGTTAAATTACCCCGTGGCTGAAAGGGCTGAGTGAGTCTGCCGAAGATATCCGCCCATAGAAGCTAATAGCGATTCATTTCCTCCAACAAGCTCCTCCTAATGAGTGGGCGATGACAACATTGCGATGAGCTCAAGAAATAAAAATTTCGTGAATGATTCAAGACGTGAACTGAATTACTGTAATGATCTACATGAGGTACCCAGAGGAAGAGGTCATTGCTAGCTAAACCAGCGTACCTCGTATTATCACGCAACTATTCTCATCGACGTGTGCTTCACCCGCGGCCATACATGAACTAGTCTTGAATATGACCTACCCAGGGAACTACGACTACCAAAGGAATGCGCTTTCATAACTTTCTGAAGTTGGTGGGCGCATTTCCCGCCTCTTTCCACTCGTTCTCGTGTCGAGGCTGGCTCTAGACCCTGTCAACCCTTCTACAAGTAACCCAGCAGCTCCTCCGCCGGTGTCCCGTATCCTGGTAGCGCCCAGTTCCGAGGCTCTTGATATATCCGGGTCTATCATCAGAGTTTCTTCGTCTTCTTCCATGCTTTCTGCGCGGGTCATGCCCTCAGACTCCTCAATATCATCATCCCCGTAACTGTCATCGCCACCTGGTGTATTATCGGTTGGCTCGTCGTTTGTAGCAGCAACCTCGGCCGCGTGAGAACCTCGTTTGGGCGTCTCGCTTGGTTCTATCGAGGTTCGGTCTGCCCGCCAACGCTGAACAGCTTCTGCCGAGTCGATCGGGTGGTTGCCCCAGTACACAGGACCAAACTTATCCCCTTTGACCACCTCGATTGATGTCCCGCTAGTGGCCGACGAGCCATTGCCAGTCGATGGAAGGCCGGCTTTTGGGATATCACGAAATGCCCTTTCTAGTTGATTCCCTGACACTTGGGCCAACAGTGCGCAGAGAACTTGTTCGGTTTCCATCAAACGCTTTTCCATGGTCACGATGTAGTGCTTCGGGGGGCCACTACATATGCCTTAAGTGTCAGTCATAAAAGGTAAAGCAATCGAGAGGAAGATTGAAGAGGAGACTTGGCTTGACGACCAAAGCTCGAAACTGACCGTTTTCTCTGTTCAGGCCATTGACATGATACATTGTTGATACCGCATTGTGCACACTTTGGCCTACAGCGATGAGCTTTCCAGGTATTACAAATATCAGCCAGACCGGAATGAGCGTACCTCTCCCCGCTACACTGGTGGTTGCCCAAGGAGTCAGTCAACCTCTGCTGGTTGTAGGTGATGATTGACTCTTCTCAACCCACCTTGTGTTTTCGCGCCCTGCAGGCCAAGCAGGCCCCACGACTCCGAGTTATTTTCTTGGTTCCTTGGCCTGCCATAGGTATTGACGGACAAGTTTGCTTCTTGCCGAAATCGGGTTCAATTCGCCGTGGAGAGACGCTGGTGAAAGGCTTAAGAGACGGAGGCAATGACCGAACGCGCGTAATATTCGAGCCGCGGACAAAGGAAGCTCCGCGGAGGAGTCGAATGTGGGAAGAAACATGTGGGTACCCATCGGTTGCCCCACGCTGATCTCTCGTTCGACTGAATACGGCCAACATGGGAATCATGGAGCATCGGATATTATTGGAAATTTTGTCTTTCTCCTTTCTGCTTCGTAAGATCGTGCCTCATATGCCCATAGATATGTTGCTCCTATGCGGATTGCTCATAGGCCTCGTCCTGCTCAGGAACGACCGTCAACAGCCTCTCCTTCGAAACGCCGCGGCGCGCGTTTTCCATGGCGAGTGACTCCGTCTGACCGAGTGTCTCAACGGTGTGAGTTCCCAGGTGAGGCACGAGCAAGGCTCTTTCGTTCTTCACAAGTCGCTCGTCAACCAGTGGCTCCTTTTCGTAGACATCGAGCCCAACCGCGGTGATGTGGCCCTCATCCAGGGCGGCGGCCATGGCTGCGTCGTCAATGACAGCACCACGGGCGGTATTGATCAAGACTACACTTGGCTTCATCTTGGCAATCTCTGCGGCTCCGATCAGGTGCGTAGTACCGGCTGACAGCGGGACATGGACAGAGATAATGTCGCTGGTGCTGAGAAGTTCATCGAAGGAAACATATTGACAGACTGCAGCGAGATTATTCGACAGCGGCTTCCGGTTGTGATAGATTGTTTTGAGCCCGAAAGGCTCGGCACGGCGCTTGACTGCACGGCCAATGCGACCCATGCCGAGAATCCCCAATGTCTTACCTTGAAAATCATGACCAAAGTCGAGGCCCTTTTTGAAGTTGCCGCTCCTTAGACTATTAAAAGAGGGATTCAACTGGCGGATTGCTTCGAGGGGAAGGAAAATAGTCAGCTCGGCAGTGGCCGACGTAACTGGGTCTGGGGCATAAGTGACAATGATGTTGCGCCGCGTGCAGACATCGACGTCAATCTGATCGTGTCCGGCGCCAGTATGGCAGATGTACTTCAAAGACGTAGGCAGTTGGTTCACGAACTCTTCGTCAAACTTTCCAGCAACCTGTCAAGTGTTAGTACTACGAAGGATGATGTAACAAATTACTTACAGCTCAACTGGAAGACGTTCTAAAAATGGCTTCAGTGTCCTGATACTGGCTGCGCAAGTCGTTGAAGAACTGATCTCGCGAGGTACTAGTGACCACTTCGGGATTGGCCACCAGCTCCTAAGCCTCATACTCTTGTAGCGCATGGCGGACGGGGTTGAAGAAGAGGATGCGAGGTTTGGATTGAAACATGTTAGCGACGCTGTGTATCGTAATTGATACCGTCTACATTGACTATAATGATTGACTGGCGACCTTTGATCTTCCTTTAAATTACTGTAGCCATCTTTATTGGGTGCGCGCACTCGGCCAATGTAATACGTGGCCCGCGCTTCGAGCGCCACGGTTGAAAGATTAGGCGATGATGTGTGTACGGACGGAACGCATTTACCTGCTGGTGACGGCGGTGGTGGAACTGTGCGCTTTACTTTGAGTTGAACTTTGAGTTGTAAAAGTAGACTATCAGAATTCCCTTACAAGGTTGTAAGTCTGTTGGTTGCTCGGCCCTGGAACATCCGCCATCTGTCACTTCGGAATGTTGCAATGCTCAACTGCTAGAAGGAGGATGACGTCGGTTGCCCATATTGCCGCATCGTCTAATCGTGGGGGTTCAACCCCCTCTGTGCATTGTCCATGATCCGTTGGCAGCTTCCGAGCAATTCAGCATTTGATTGCTGCTTGTCCTGTCTTCACCCTACTCCAGAAACCCCTTCAGAAGACGGTATCCAGGTCAGTCAGAGTATAGGCCCTGATCCCAGCCCCATTCAGCCCTACGTTGACAACTTGGTTAGCCCGTGTGATTATTCTACCAAGTCATCGCCCAGTTTGCGTTTGGGGGCTGCCGATGTTGCCACCTGTATAGTCCTGGGGACCTCGCTTCGAATCGTCGGTTTTCCTGAAGTAGAAAGAGGGGGCATGCGCAACAGCGTACGGACGTAACATGCAAATCGATTGGCCACTATAGAGGGGCGAATGAGCAAGCATGACACTACAATAGCAGCTAGCAAGTTACTCTTAATTAGTCTTGGTCGTAGACTTCAAGCTATATTCGTAATGGGACTATGTGGAAATCGCGTCAAGCGTTAGCGTTTAGCTCTCAACGACCAACACCTCGTAGCACCAGTGACAACCTCCTAGAATTGTGGCAGCCGATTCGACCAGTTGTTGCCCTTGGTATTTGGTATGCGTTTGTGTTACTCTCATTCAGGGCGACGACAAATTTTTCGTATCCTGTGACGCTCGCGCTCAAATGGGAAGAAGTGGAGTAGGTTGAGAGACAGGCACGGTTGAGCACTAGGGTTAAACGAATACAACTTGGCATGGGCGAGTGTCCGTAATTCCACAGGTGTATGCCAGTCCAGCAGTCCATTGATACATGTAGTCTTTCAGAATGTTTGCACAATTCCATACAGTATAAAGCAAGACGTCGGTATCTGGACACTAAACGACGAAATGACGCGCGATCGCACTGGGTGAAAAGCTTTGGTAGGAAACTCGACCGCTCACCCTAGAGTGCAAGACCTAAAAGTCTTGCTGCGATTGCAGTTTTTCTAACATCTGCTCTTCAGCTTGCCTTTGCCATCTTTCTCTTCAAGTGTGTATGCTCGTATAGGTCGTTTAGGTCCGAGTTGCGCCTGTCTGGCACGCAAAGGTATGTTTACGAGTTTTGCCACTGTGACGTCGGAAATTATTGTCTAGTGGCATTCGGCTTGGGCCTGACGACGCCAACTGATATCTTTTGTAAATGGACTTCTTTTCCAAAGTAACTACGGATAAAAAACAATTTAGCGATCAGATTCCGGCCCGCCGCTCTTGAATAAAAGCACCTGGTGCGAGAGGCATCTAGAAAACGTACCAGACCGTTCGCCCCATGCAACCCCAACGATTTCGATTATCTCGCTACAATCTCAGCCTCGGATTCTGGAAGGCACAGTGGCGATGATGTCGGTGTCCGGCATGCAACACCCGGGCTGATCGTCTCGTGTGGTTGGATTTGCCCTTGGTCGTCAAAGAGTCATCGTTTACCCATTGTAATCGGAGTTGTCGGGCACCACGACGAGCTTTTCGGCAATTTATGACCAGAGCCAGGTTCAGGGCTACCGTTTATCGTTCGTTGGCGTCTCCAACATCATAAGAGTTTGAATTGCTCTATCGACCAAAACTTGCAAATAATGGCAATGCCAGTCAGCTTCGGTCGCGTCTTGACTGTTTAGAGGATGTTCCCATCGTACCGGAGATATCGTAGCCTGCTTGTTTATTCAAACTCTGCGATTGCTAAATCGCGTCCTGCGCAACTTGCCTCGGCAGATGATGAACACTGCGAAGTGTTGAGGCGGTCGAGTTGATAGAGGTCGTCACCATTGCCTGTGACTCGAAATTCGAATTATCCGCCATAGCTCGCGTTTGCACAAGACTCGGTTCAATCAATCTTCCGGGTCCAACGGGTTCATGTCGGCTTTTTCCCGCATTGAACTCGGTTTGGAAGATGACGGGCTCGATTTGCTTCTCCTGTCAGCGAAGCTATCCTGTTCGATGGGTTGCTTTCCCAGGAGGAGATCTCCCACTCGGACGAGGTCCAGGACATGGAACGGGTCGCCTGTCGATCGTAGTCGATTGAATATTTCGGTTGCCTCTGCTTCGGGCCGTGAATAAAGGTCTCTGATCAGCTCGTGGAGATCATTATTCTCTTTTTCAAGTTCTTCCAGTCGATTGACAATCGCCTGTCTTCTGGTTGTCTCAATTGGGGTATCCCACTCGCATTCGACGTTTTGAGTGGAACATCGCGAACAGATCGGTCGGGTTGCGGAACACTGTGTTTTCCAATCCTAATCAGCTTTGTGGCTGGCCGTATCGAAATGATAGAGATCCGGCTGGCTGGGCCTTGACTGGGCTGAATTTCTGAAGGGGGTGGATGAAGAGGGGAAAAGGTTGACGGTTAACTGTCTAATCTATTCATGATTTGACAAGTCTTTTGGCCAATTTGCCCCACATTGACGGCGATGTCAACGACTTTGACAAGTACCGTTGCTATGTGTGTTACACCAAGTCGTGCCAAAAGGTACTTTTCTCATCAGGGGTAGGAAGCTAAAGGTGGGCGGCTTTCCCTCTTCACAGCAATCTCCGTAGAGCGTAAGAGTTACCTTTACTTTGCGTCTGCGGCACTCCAGGCACGCCGCTGGAACAGCTTGTCTCTGCCGTCGAAAGGGGGGATCCGTTGAGATCACGCGAGGACCAGCGCCGGCTGGTAAGAGACGCCTGAAGCTTGTGGCTGTCGCAGGAGTATCCGGGCTCGGAGCGTCCCTTGAGTCATCGTCGTGTTGCAAGCCCAGCATTGGTTCAAGATGAAGGAAAGAAAGTAATGACAGCACAACAAGGCTCTCTCCATCATCAGCCTCGTAAGAGTATTTATAGCCAGTTATTATTGAGTGCAATCAATATTCCAACAGAATCTCTTGGCCACTGCGCATCTCTTCTCTCGGCCATAGTACGGATACCTAACTGATACACCCCACAGGCGTGGTACCATCCCTGCTGGCGTTCGGAAGGATTCCTGTCTGCACTGGCCGGGGCCATCGAGAAGGTGAACTTGCCCTGTCGATTGAAAGCCCCCTCAGGACTGCTAGTCCTTCCACAGCAGCTAATCTTACACCCTACAGTGCCATTCGAGCGGTCCATAGTGTCGACGCGATGGTCATCCGCATATGGGCAGTGATGTGGCAAGTTAGTCGAGGCCCTTCAGATGCTGCGGGTCTCCTGCTTGCTTTTTACAATTGTACCTGTAGCGACTCGGGTGTTGCTTTGCCACGGCTTTGCGGTCACTATGAAGCGGAGGATTTATTCCGATTTGATGAATGTATGCAGAACGCAAATTAGTTCTTGTCTGCTTCTCCTCGAATCCCATTGACCGCAAAATTGGCTCGAAGATTCCCCATCGAGGCGCACTTTTTACTCGAGCTGAACAAAGCTTTAGACGTCTTTCAAGCTGGAAAGCACGCAAGGAGAACGAAAGAAGCCATGACGTGGATTTTCGCTTATGCCCTAAAAGCCGTGCCATCATCATGATCCACGGGCCACGAAGCGCAGACTGCGCAGTACACACATGGTGAAGGTTGGAATCTCATTAGTGATCCGGCGGATAGACCAGAAGATCCAAGCTCCTCAACCATCATGTAGGGCTGTGTCCCAAAACTCTGGCACTTAATGAGGCGGCCGACCCCTCGATTCACCAGCTTTGTCCGTCCAATGTTAGTGGTGATTCGTACTTTAGATATCAATGGCAAAGCGGTACCACTGAAAATACCGCATTCGCAAGAGTTCTTTGTGATTATTACAAGCGAATTATGATTTATTTTGGATTCAGAGCCACAATCATTACTCGATGGAGGTCAAATTCGATGCCATTCCGGAAAGAGTCGTGGTCAATGAGTTGACAGTACCAGAGTCCTTCGTAACCATTCACACCTTCTGGTCTCGTAATCATCCATCCGATTCCTTCTATCGACAAGTGGATGAAAGAGAGCAGCTGTCGACAAGTTTGAGGATTGGCCTTCGCCTCCGGCATTGCGACCTAGGAAGTCAAGCGCCCAGCCCCTTCTCGATTCTCGATGCGATTAACTGCACGAGCTGCAAAGCCGTACTACTCTACCATCCTGGCCAAACTTGAGTTTACTTAAATCTGGAGATTGACCGTGCCAAGCTGGCGTGGCAGGCGCCATGTGCTGCGATTCAGGTTCGTAAATCTCACTACAAGCCCGATGGGCCGGCCACCCAACCACGGCGTCTTCGTCTTGAGCCTTCACATTCTTGACCTTGTTATCTGAAGCAATCGCATCTAATAACTTCACACTACAAGCGTAATTAAAGTCTTGAATACATTCCCATCTTTCTCGCGGGCACTCCAAGCACCTATTCTTTCACCTTCGCTTGAGGGGGCTATGGCAACTCATTAAGGTAGGAATCAGCCCCTCGGGCTTCGGAAGTCGGGGCTTAAGCTGGCCGCACCGAGCCGTACAACGCCGTTTTCTTGGTCGCGGGGCGAAGAACATGGACACAAGCTAATTCTGCTTTCGAGAGCTACCTAAGGCCGATCATGATTAGCTCCACGAAGTAATCCGTCGCAGCGACTACCTGAGTAAGGTACATAGGTAGCCATTGGCAACGATTTAACGATGAGCTACTTACTACATATAATGAGTCCTGCATGTCTATAATGTAGTGTAGTTTAGTCAATGCTCGGTATCACAGAAATCCTAGCGCAGTTGTCGAGCAGGCTCTGCAAACAATTTCACGATTCAGTGCTTCGGCGCTACCAATCCCCCTTTCATTCAAGCGCAAGAGACCTTCTCAGAATGTCAACTAGGCCTGTACACCGCAGGAGAAAGTACTCAGAAGCGCAGAGAGTTCAATCTAGGTCGCATCTGGGACTACCACCGTGGCAATATGGCTGGTATGTCTACGTACATGGGGATTTAGGTCTCAGGCAGAAACAGCAGATCCAATATCGCCCACCGTATGATGGTAGCACAAACCTGGTGGAGACCTCCTTCAACATGTCCGTCTCTGGTTCTTAGATCTCTTTCCATCATTTTTCCACTTACAGGAAGGGAAATGCCATCGCGACGACCTCCTAGCCTCCTGAAGATTGCACGGGAAATGCCGCAAAGAAAGTGTACAGTTGCGCAGTGGCACCGTAGCGTTCTTCATACACATGACGACGCTCGTTTGTGTCCTCCGAGGCCACTAAAGCTGCGACCGCAACTTGTGATAAGAGTCCCGGCAGCTGAATGTTGCCCTGCGACACACGCGCCAACAGGCAGGAAATAGGAGCAAAGGATCACTGCGACCTTATTTCCTGATCCCTCTAGAGGTACCGTTCTCCATTTTGACGAAACCTGCAGTTACAAAAGTTGCCACCCAGTCGAATCATGAATGGGTAAATCTGCCAGGAGTCAAGGGTCAAGCCATTCCCAGTTTGCCCGAAGTTCGATTACACGGCGAAGCCAACCATGAAAATCTTACAAGGCTATTTCGATATGACCAAAGTTAAGGGAGACGAGCAAGGGAGAATAAACGACCGGGGAGTATCAATTACCAGAGGCAGTCTTGCAACCCCCAGTACACCTTTCACGAAGCTCAATCATATCCTAAGACCTGTCTATCGTACCTTAGGTGAGTGAGAGGAAGGGCGCCCGCCTCCGACTCAAACAGCGTGCTCATAAAGCACCAATCTGGAAACAAAGCCATTACTCGTCAAGCCATTCCAGAGCCTTTTCAGGTGCTGCAGACCTTAAGCATCGGCAGGCATCTGACTAAGTAAACCTCTACAGTCTTCTCTACATACCAGATGCTCTGTGCTCCAGGCATGGATAGGAGGGTTTTGGGAAGCTGTAGAGTCATTGTGTTGCATCAGACGGGCCTTGGGTGCTCCCCTTGGAACTTCCACATACCACTGAAGCATAAAGTGGCGAGCTTTGTCTCCTCGCCTTTCGCATCATGCTATATGAATTTGAAGATGAGAACGTTGCTAAGGGTTGTAGAACAACAAAAGAAATCAAATAAGAGGGTGTAGGTAGGTACACTTGGTCAAGCGATAATCATCTGAATGGACAGTAAGATTTACCCCTATTCAGGATGTCCGATATCTCCCGCGGTAAAATATGCGCAGTCCCCCACTTCTCAACATAGAGTCCGTCTATTGGTATTGACTCCAAGCCAATGAATGAAAAGTCTAGTTTCTCGAGGTACAATTAGCAAGCAAGGGCCGAGAGACACACATCTCGGGAACAAGACAATTCCCGCCTCCGATCATGACCAAATGGTTTCCCTGCTCCAGGAAGACAAGATGATTGCTACTATCAGGAGCTAGAAATCCATTTAGGAGGGTGTTACCACAAGGATGATGAATCATGATGAGGATCTTCGAACTGGTAAGCATCTCACTGATGATGTGCGCTGACATGTGTACTAAAGAACAGTTAAAAAACCTATGGAAGCCGGATGCTGCAGAGACCAACTTACTAAAAATATCAAACTCCTTTTACTGTGCTGCGTATACTGACCCTTGATGAGCAGCGCGCATTTCCAGCATGAATTCGTTACTGACCCAGATAGGTTCAATGTACTATCATGGAACTTGAAACCTTCGCCTCCGATGTTAGGTCACAGCATCGCCGTAGAAGACTGGACGTCCCCTCCCGAACAATGGTGGCCACTCATCTAGCTCAGGGCTAATTCTCATCGCAGCATTAGATAGGGGTCCCGTTGGCGTCTGTGGTCATTGATCCTTGCGGTCATCAGGAGCAACACGCTGAAGGACAGCGCACATAACAAAATCAGCAGTATTTATCGGGCGCTGAGAGTCTGCAAATTTCAGTGCATACCAAATCCTTAGGTGCTCGCTATTTAATCACCGCCAAATCAGCTGACGGTCTGGCATCTCTGAGTTGTGTTTTCGGCATGTACTTGTTGTGCTCTACAGCCCATACGCCATGTTCTTTAGACGGTCGGTTCGTTAAATTGCATATCAATGGTTATGCAATTAAGAGAGAGTCCGAGCCCATCCCAACATTAGGTACCCAACTGAATGCGCGTAAATGTCATGCATGCGCAACAAACTCTATCACCGACGATCAGTGCTAGCCGGTGGGATCATGGACTTCACGGTCTAATTTCTCCTCACCTCTCTGCCGGAATTCGGTGGAGCCGTGACGGTTGGGATGCGTCACTGAAGCTGGGGTCAAAGATGAAGATAGACTGATTGGTTTGTGTCATCATCAGGAGAGTTTGGGCACTCTGATAGGATTGGGGGCCCGGG